ACATGTTCCGCATTTCTTCGCCTGTTGCTATAGTAATATTACTGTCACTCACAGTAATATTAATTCTTTTGGTTTTTTTTTATTTTGTTACATTTGTTGAACGGACAACATAGTAGTATTACTTTATTATACAATAATAATGAATTGTGTTGTGTTAATATTAATGTGCTAGAGATTAATATAGCAATATCAATGTGTCAAACTATAGTTTAGTTAATTTTACTGTGTTTAACAGTAATATAGTTAATATTACTGTCATTCACAGCAATATTGATGTTTAAACGGAAAAAAAAGTTACAGGAAAAAAAAAAAAAAAAAAAAATAAATAAAAAGTCAACGCCGGAGACCGGCGTTGACCGCCGGAATCCGGAAAAAAAATCCGGAAGAAAAAAAAAAAAAAAAAAAAAATTTAAAAAGTCAACGCCGGAATCCGGAAAAAAAATCCGGAAGGAAAAAAAAAAAAAAAAATTAAAAAGTCAACGCCGGAATCCGGCGGGGAAAAAAAAGTTTTTGAAAAAAAAAAAATTTGTGAAAAAAAAAAAGTTTTGGGTCAAAATTGAATAATTTGTGAAAGTTGGGGTCAAATTGAAGTTAAAGTAAGTTAAGGATGAAATTGGAGCATATAAAAGTAAGAGGGGTTATTTTAGTCCTTTACATAAATCTGGACCATGTGTGGACTTATTGGTAAAGGAGAATATTGTCTGGATCTCTTTATGAATAAGTTCCCATTGATGGGCTTATTTGTAATATGCCCTATTTTTATTGTGGTTTCTTGATATACTTTAATTTTAAGATAAAATACGTTTTCTATAAAATCGAACGAAATAAAAGAAATCAAACATAAATAATAATAATAATAATAATAAGTTAATGTGTGTGAAAGAAAATATGTTTCATTTACTATAGAAAACAAGTATAAATAATTCAAAAAAAGACCGATCAGATCCCGGTTGAACCGATCAAACCGTGATCCAATAACTTATGGGAGTCAATGTCGGATCTTATTTTGAAAACATTGATCTAAAGATGAATTTAAATACATAAAGGGTGGGGCAAATAGATAATAAAGAAGACCTAGAAACAACCCGTAAAAATGGGTGAACCAATGACACGCCGCCGACCAAAACGTGTGCCAACAAAATCACCTCCTATTAATTAAACATATATCAATCATCAACACCACAAAAACACATATACATACATAGTGAATGAATGCCAATTACATAGAGATCACCGGAGGAGGGACCTATTTTGAAGGTCAAAAAAGTGAAAATTCAAATAAATAAATAAATAAAAGTATGCAGCAGATATGCAGAAGAAAATCATTTCACTTTAACATTAAGAAAAGAATCCTCTGGCGAATCTCCGTCTTACGCCGCTATTTACGCTCAATTTGGTCCAGATTTGTTGCCTGTTGGATCGCCAAATCTTCCGTTAGGTATCGCCACTTTCCACCGCCATCCTCCTCCGCCGCCTCCCCCTTTTCTCCTCCGGTTATAGATAATGGCTTCTCCTCCTCCTCCGCCGTCAACGTGCTGCCTCTGCCGCGTAAGGACTCGTCGGATTTAGTTTCTCTCAAAATCAGTCTCTTCGGCGATTCTCACATTGGGAAAACCAGTTTTTTGGTTAGTACTCATGATCGATTGTTTTGTTATATTAATTAATTAATTAATTAAATTATTAAATGGTAATTAATTAAGTGTTATTTGAATTGCAGACACAGTATGCAGGGAGAGAGAAAGGGGAAGAAGAATTAGGAGTGACAGGAATAAGCCACGTGGACAAGACATTGTATATTAAGGGTGCTAGGATTACTTACAGCATTTGGGAAGTCAGAGGTGATTTATTTATTTTTCTTTATTATTTATTTATTTTAATCACTATATTTGGATTAATTATATTATATATGCATAATGCAATGCAGGTGATCATTCTTCACTTGATCATATTCCAGCTGCCTGCAAAGATTCAGTGGCTATGTTATTTATGTTTGATCTTTCGAGTCGACGCACCTTGAATAGGTAATTTTTTCGATCATCTAATACGCGCAACAAAAAGTTTTTTTACCAAAATAAAATCGCCCGACATTTGTTTCTGTCTTACGTCAACCCCCTTATATGTAATGTGATTTTCACGAAATATTTTTTATTCCAAGGAATATTCCCCGAAAAATCTATCATAAATACAGTCTCTCAAATGTAAGTGGCCTTGGTATAGCTTATACAGTCACATTATAACAATGTCACTGCACTTTGTTGATTGTTGTTAGTACGAACCATGCTAGCATACATAGGCAATTGTTTTAGCATTTGTGTATGGCTACCTTTCTACGTCTGTAGGGGTAGAATTGACATTTTTCGGGAAATATTCTCTTGAATAAAAAAGATTCCATGAAAAATCATATTGTAAGTGGGTCGATGTAACACGAAAACAAATGTCCGGGGGACTTTGGTAATTAGGGATATGTGGGGTATTTTTCGTAATTTAATCTAAGTTCAGGGTTTTTATTTTTGTAATTTACCATTAAATATTAGATAAATTTCCGAAAATTGTATTTCGTGACTAAGTGTACAATTGTGGTTGTAACGGCAGTGTGATCAGATGGTATCAGGAAGCAAGAAAATGTAACCAGGTAAGAGATTATCATTTTTCTTTTTCTTTTTTTATTTTACAAAATAATATCTTCATTTATTTTTTCATGTATTTTACGAAACAATTGTTTATGGCATAAAATTGCAGACGGCAATTCCAGTATTAATTGGAACTAAGTTTGATGATTTCATCCAATTACCAATTGATATGCAATGGACCATCGCAA